CAATAACAACTTCTGATCGATCAAGTGAACATTTAGTTATTGAAGGATTTATTACATTTATAGCAGAATTTATGCTTTATTTATTTCCAGTTACATCATTTTATTTATACACACTCACATCTCGTACATTTCGTAAAGAATTAATCAAATATTTTCGTTCAATATTTGGTCAGAATAATCGAATTGTACCAATAACTCATGGTACTACTATTGATTACCCATTTCGTACATGTACTTGAACTGTCGTCAGTACACTGGAAATATGTTAACAGCTTGGCTATATACCGTGGTATATTACCGGTCAAAAAGTGGCGATATATATATCAGAGTTTGCCTTGCTATGTTTTGGTTGAATCAGTGAAACCGGATCAAACACTAAGAGAACAGTTGACGATCGTATGTCTAATTCTCACGTTCGAATAACAATGCGTTTTTTTATCGCATGTTAATAATAATATCTAACATTTTACTAGTGTGATTGTTATTTCAAAGATGTTTGTGCAATTTCATTTGATCGAAGCAAAGTTTCACGTCCAATTAACATTAGAACTTGGCTATGGCTATTATTTTTAGAACAATTTCCAGTGTATTTAATCGCACAGAGTTATAGTGCTTTTTTGTTTGTATAAAATGTCTAAAGAATTTTATTTTAATACATCTTGTTGTTGTCAGTATAAATCGCATTTATTTTTATTGATATACTGTAGTTCTATGATTGTATCTATGCTATTATATTACATATTAATACTAAGCATAAAATGCTTTAAAATAAAAATTGTCGTCATTCATTTTCGATTTCAGGCAGCAAAATGATAAAGCAAAGGTAAATTGGCTATTGCAAGTTAGGGGAATGATTTATAGTCTTATGATTCTAAGAAGAAATGTACATTGTCATAGGTAGTAAATTGGTTGAATTAGTTTTTCCTTAATATGTTGTTTATGATAATATACATTTATTCTTGCAATCATAGGTTTATCCATTAGTAGGTTCAAGTTTCTAATCTTACTAGTAAAAACTGAAACAATCGAGGGTATAGTGCACACTATACCGAACTGTCTACCGGCTTTTTTTCTTCATCTTGAATCACATGGATATCGTATTATAAACCAGCGAACAATTATAATTTGCATCTGGCAGATAAATCATCAAGGTACTCAATAGAAATGATACAATGATTTAAGTCTCTCAGGATGAGATTATTTTTTTGACAATAAAACTTTAGAAATGAAAATTTCAATGCAGAATGAAAAAGAGAGAAAATGAGTCATGATTAAGTAAGCAATATTGAATGTATATCCCTATGATGAGCATACTTCATCGCACATGCAACTGCTTCTGATTGTCAATGCGTAATATAACTCACTATTCACAAACAATCAGTAACCACTAGCGTGACCAACTGCCCTGTAAACATTACATATTAATTGACAGATTTTAATCTTCGAAAAAGTTTTATATGTTCCAGAAAAATACGGTATAAATATTGAAATTTGATTAAAAAAAAAAGCATTTATAATGATTTTCATTTTTATTATGTAGAATAAAATATATATTCATAAATAGTTACTATGGATAACTGAATGAACCGACAAGAGTGCTTGAAGTTGCATCACAATTATATGAATCACTTAAAGTCGAAGTAAATATTTTTGTAATATTGAGAATAGTGCCAGAAGAACGTACAACATGGTAGGTGACCGTTAGTGGATTACTACTGCTGATAGTTGGATTGAATGAATATGGTTCAAAACAGAGATAATAGGTTCCTGTAGGTGGTAAAGAACTACTACTTGACCAATAAATATTTTCCGGTCCTATGCTGTCTGAATCATCTCTGTCCAATATCCCTTGATCAGTACTTGACGAAGGACCTTCATTTTGATAATTAATTGCTTTGCCATTCGGTGTTGTAACAACAATATCTCCATCGCCTGGTTGAGACCATGTCAAAGCGAATGCGAGATGTCCTACATTTAAACATACACTTTGTATGCATGTCTGTTGGGAATTACATGATGGTGAGCATGAACTAGCTATAAAAATAAGAAGTAGTATTAATCTGATGAAAAGTTATTCAGAGATTTCATCTACTTGTTATTATTGTTGTCACTGCCGTTGTTTCAGTTGTTGTTGTGGTGGTGCTTGTTGTGAATACACTTGCGATTTGGGTGGTGGTAGTAGATTTTGTCGATACAGTTGTAGTTATTCTTTTGGTAGTAGCAACTAGAAATTTGAAATTTATATTTAATTGTTCGAATAGTATAGATTTGTAATCTATCATATAAGTTCTTGAGTTTGATCAATGAAATTACTATACTATTATAATAATTGATAAGTTTCATAATATTTGTTCCTGACGATCTTTACAAAACTGAATACTTTTTTAATATTTCTCCTTTCTTCAGTTGCATTCGACTTAATTAAGAATGCTTTGTACTAATTATAATGTGATAGACTTTCGTTTTTTTCTCTGCGTTGTCTGCATTTCATGACAGTATGCTTCGAATATACGTACTTATTCAGATCTTCACATCTTGTAGGTGCTTCAGATAGATGCAATATAAAAATTATTTCATTATGATAATCGATTTTTAGTTACGTTGAAAAACTACCAATTAAGTCGAAGATGAAAGCTAGATTATTGTATATTAAGATATATTATTGTTAAATAAGTTAATACTTTCAAGAGACAAAATATAAAGAGAAAATAAAATTCTAAGATATATTAAATTTTTATTTTTCATTGTATTTAATTGCAACTTTTTCAATCAGTCTAATATTTAGGGACTTATTAATCCTCTAAAACATTCTCACATATGAAAAGTATTTTCTTATGAACATAACAATACTTGTGAATTTTTAACTATGAAAATTAAGTAAATATATGCAGAATCTTACTTGTCGTCATTGTTTTAGTTGATGATAATACAGCTACAACAATTACAGCAATGATTCCGCCAAGCAAAATAAAGCAAATCATCGATAGAAATACACATAAGGGTGAGCATGCACAACATTTAAAAAATCTGAAAACATAATTTTTAAAACATCTAATAAATAAAGAGAATAGTACAAGATACTTACCCAGCCTTTTTTTTTTTATTTTTTCGACGATATTTCTCATTTGATTCGTCTTGACTTGCCTTATTGTCTATCAACTAATTTAAATCAAAAATATTCCGTAGAAAAAAACCAAGGAATTAGAAAATTTTACTTTATTAACATTGATATGATCAATTGAAAAGAGGTTGTTAATAGCCTTATGCTGTAAAAAAAAACGAAATTTTTCTATTTACATGTAGAATAGAATAACTGTTGAAATTACATGATATTGATTTGCTGGATGAGTTTTCATTGAGGTCGATCTTTTATGATCATGTTCTAATTGAACATTTATGCTCTTAATTGTATATGCTGAACGATTATTGAAATAATTGTATTCATTTCTTCTTGGCTGTGAGAAAAATATTAAACAAAAAAATGAGTATTTCAGCTGTATTATAAATCCAAGAAAGTGGTTGTGCAAGAGATTATGTTATTTTTCAAGGAGATGAACCTACTCAAGCTGTCAATATATGGACATTTTGAAGCATCAATCTGAAATATCCGATGGATCTATAGAACTGCATGAATTTGCAGTTCACATTTTACACATCAGCTATGCCCTTAACAGAAGTATACGCATTTCTACCTCTGTGTATTCTAAAAATCGATTCCCGAAACTCATACATAGGTCCTCCAACATTTCTTGTGACGTTCTTAATTGTGTCACAGTAGGACACCAACAGATTTCCCGGCGTGTTTCACGATATTACTAAAGATCTTCAAGAATTCTCGGTTGATCTCTATAGCATCCTTCGTTGATATTGACGGATTCCTCAACTAATGTAGAGAGAATCGTTGCTGGATCTCCAGATGATCCTTAGAAAACCTTCAGAGGATGGTTGAAAAACCTTTGAAGTTCTCTTGACGAGCCCCTGGAGAATCCTAAGGGAACTGTGGAGACCTTTTCAGGATCTTCAACACATCTGAAGAGTTCTTGGAGATGCGCTTCATAATAGTTGAAAACTCGAAGAAGAAATTTAAAATTCATCATAACTCTTCGAGTTTTAAAGGTATGCTAGGCTCAGCTGATAGATACTTTTATTTATATGTTTAGATTACGTAAAAAATCCGCCCATGAAATATCAGTAAATTAAAGTAGAGAACCACTTGAAGATTAGATCTTAAACAAGTTTGAGCAAGACAAAATATATCGAATAATCGAAAGTTGGGTGTGGGTCAGTGTGGGTAAACAGATAACCCACATCCACACCCACACCCTTAATACTGTATCCTCAGTTATTACGAAACACCCTTTACACCTCTGTAGTACCTTCTCAGAAAAAAAATTTGCCAGAAAAAGACCAATGTACATGTTTTGACAAAAAAAATTATGCTAGGTTGTAGTCCATTACAAGCACTATCAGAATATGTATAAATCTCCAAATCGAGGTTTTTTTCGAAAAATTGACCTTTCTGAGGGAGGGGGGGGGGGCTTAAATAGGATATGAAATTTGTATTGACTTACTTGTAATAATGAAAGCTGGCGTACATTATGTTTTTTGGCGTTCAGAAAAGGAGTAAATGATTTATTCGATGTGAATGCGTATGCCGATGAGTTTGTAGCATTACAATCCAGACTAACCTTAGAGACCGCCTTAAAAATTGAAATTATTATGGAAATGAATCAGATAAAAGATTTAACTCGTTGCATATGGTCATTAGCATCTGTTGATTTCTGAATATTAGAACGAGTGCTCTTTGGTGATGGAAGAACTTTACCAGTAATCATAACATGTTGAACATTGACTTTTTTTGATTGAAGAATATTCTAAACAAAAAAAAATAGTTCTTCAAGCATGATTCTAAATAATCCTACTTGGTTTTTAAGTGATTGATGACGATAACGACGGGATAATTTTCCATCTTTTGGTATTTCTGCTAATGGTCTTATGACAACATGTTGTGTTCTGCTCCGGCGAATAGACAATAATCGACGAACATTACCTTGAGTCGCTTGTTTGTTTGCTCGGTTTACCATAAGTAGAGTTACTAAAGAGTTTCTTAGAAATGATCTAAAAAAAAACTTTTTATATCTCCACTGTTCCTTGACTACAATCGATTAATTATTTTTTAGTTGAAAGAGAAATATTCCAAGTTTTATTTTCAAAATAAATATATTTCTTCTGTGTAAGATTTAATAGTATTACCATTCATATCGATACAAAGTTTCAAACTTTTCACAATACCATTTTAAATTATACCTGATGTCTTTTTCTTTATAATTCTGCCTTCCTTTTTAATTCTATTCTTCAAATCATCAGTATCTTTGACTGTAGTTTTCTATATGTTTGCTTCGATATATCTCCATCCAGAGGCCATCACGTTCAAAAAATCGATCAATGTCTTCCAATTCATGTTGTATCAAATTTTTCATTTAATCATGCACGAACTTTTATTATAAAGCGAGATGAAGCGCCATCTTGCTGGAAAATCATTCTCTTGTTTTCTTTTCGTTGGCAAAAACAGATAAAAATAACGTTGGAATATTTAAAGATAATAATGGTAATTGGTCGTTTCGTCTTCAAACAAGTATGAGTCGATATTTCCTGACTAACTAATATAATTATGCTCGATCACAATCCCATAAGCATAAAAACTTGATTGATAAAAAAACGATAGCATCATTTACTTATTCTTCCATGGTTTAGTATCAAATGTTTTGCCATCTGAACATGCATATCCTTGTCTTCATCATGTAACTACTAAGTATAGCATATTATATATAGCATAAATCTAATAGTATCGTGTATTATTCAATGTGCTTAGTATTATAAAACATTCACTTTTTGAGTAACATTTTGAAAGTTGTTTGCTGGTTCCTTATTCATAACATATTTAACATCGTGCCCCTTATCTTCTATTATTGTTGATGATCATCGTGGGCAATTGTTTTGAATAACGGTAGTGTCCATATAGTTTTCATGCATTAATGTGACAGTACATCTTTCTAAAGTGTCGATTGGTTCCCAGCGTTGTAATTTCCAGATGATCTTTGTCTTGATTAATACTTATTTTGTTTTTAACAAGTGCGCTGTATTGTTGACTTGCAATTAAAATAAAACTTTGGGTATTTATTTCTCAAACAAAAAAGCTTAATGATTTTGGTTAAAAAATGATGGAGATAAGCAATTCTTTCATAGATTATCACTGCAAACAATCTGTATTTTATATATTGATGAAACAATCTTCTCTTAAAAAAATTTTTTTTTTCTAGTGAAGCAAAAAAAAATGGCAGAAATCATAATTCGCATATATATATATATATTATTTAAATGAGATTCAAAGTTTGATTATTGAATTGAAATAATTCGTTACAAGGGAATATTGTGGGCGTAAATTAAAGGCTTCATAGAGAGCTTGAAATTGAAACTAAAGTTTTATTAACTAGCTAGTCTTTTTTTGGTCAAAAAAATTGGACTATATACAAATCTCTTTTACTCATAATAAAAAATGAATTTAAAATGTTTCTGCAAAATTGTGTTGAAACAATGTGAAGTGCAGTAACATTCGAAAAGAATTTTGCTATGAGGCAAATATCAATATTGCAATGATTTTAAAAACCGTTGATGAATATTTTTTTGCGCGACTTATGTTGCATATTCATGTTTTTTTTAAACATGTGAGTTTTTGTTTTCGTTTCATTATTTTTTCTTGAATTGTAATGCAAATTTATTTAGCTTTTCAGAAAAAAAAGAATTATTAATTATTCTTCGTGTTTCGAGCTTTCGTCATTTACCTGCATATTTTTGTTTTGATTATTCTGACTTGACAAGTCGATGAGGAATTTGATTATGCGACGAATTCAAAAAAAGCAGTATGAACATGTGTGAAAAGTGAAGCAGTTACTCATGGTACTAGAAGTATAAAGATATTACGCATAATGGTATAGTAGTATTAAAGATATAGAACAAAGAAGTTTTCGAGGTATAGCAGATTTAATATCCAAATACTTATATACCTCTAATAATTGTAGATATCGATTCTGATACAAAATGAGTTAATTTTTATTTAATGCTGTAGTAAAATCAAGTTCCCAAGATTAACTTCTGAGCAAAATTCTAAGATTCGTATCCTGTTGTTACATATATTTATTTGATAGCTTCCATTGACAGAAACAAATTACATATAAAGTTTATAAGAACAAATTTTTCATTATATATAAGATGGTCAAAAGTCACTCGATAATCTTTAATTCTGAATAAATTTTGATCGGAAGAATATAGAGAGCGGAGATATCGATTGCGGCGCAGTCGTGGCTCGACTTTTACAAGGCTTCTCATTTTGTTTCCCAAGAAATCTACAATATATCAGATATGATCTACTTTAACATTTAGAGTAATCAATATCTAAGAGTTCATTTATCATCATTTGACGTAACACTTTATCTCTACTTTATTCAGTAAAATAAAGCATATAATTTTACTCGGTGAAGTAAAGCAGGTCATTTTTCTCAGTAATGTAAGGTAGGTCACCTTACTCAGTAAAGTAAAATAGGTTACCTTATCTGAAAAGTAAAGTAAATCAAAGCAAAGTAATATGTTAAGGTTATGTTTATTATTGATTTATTAGCTCATTATTATGCATTGAGAATGTTAAAACATAAACATATGTATATTCAAAACAATTTCTCTATTAACAACTGAACAAAAACGAAATAAGTAACGCATGTCATTGTGACTCGCTGGACTCTCAGCTGAATGTTCAACTCTTTCTGTATAATATACTACTTTACAAGCTCAATCGATACTCATATGAAATGTTTGTATGAAAGTGGATGTGAATGTTGGTGTACGTTCCAGTGTCATTGAGGATGTTGATGTGCGTGTCATATGGTGCTTCTTATCACCTATTCAACCAAATTACACTCACACCCATGTGTCCAACACCACTTATATATCCATGTAAACCCCATACTCTCATGCCACACCGATATCACACATCATACATCACTCTATGTTGACAGCACAACCCAAGACCTAAGCTCAAGGCAACATCCACATCGAGAACCATATACATGTCAACAGTCACGCCCGTACCCATCTCGGACACGTAAACAGCACCCACATTCACGTCACACCCGAGACGAAAGTTAGCAATGAAAAACAGCTGATAGGCTGAAACTCCAACCACAAAAACGGGTTGGTAGAGAGCCTGATTGCGACAAAAACTGATTGAATGAAAGCATATCGCAAAGTAGCCATTTTAAATAAATAGTCTGCTATTTCAGAAACGTATGTGAATACTTGACTACACATGTATGCAAATTTACCTCAGCACAACCGCAGTTTATTGTATATGGTTCTCCGTACATTCAACAAAATAAAGTTGAAAAATCAACATTCTTCATGTATTGATATTTCGAAACTGGGTTTCTTTTCATGTATTAGAAATAACATTTTACATTGATTTTATCTGAATAAAGTTAAGTAATTCTCTTTTTACTACAGTAGTTTCAGAACTGCTTAGCATAAGGTAGCATGCTAACGGGTGCACCAGACATAATGGCCACGTTTTATATATCAGTTTTCAGTTTCTCTATACATTGTACTAAGAAAACAAATCATACTGCTAGATGCCCCGTGAAAAATCCTGCAATTTACAAAGACCAGCTTTTTTTTTGTAGTTGCACGTTTTGCTTTTAACAAAAAAGCAAAATTCTATGTGATCAGTTTTCGCACGGTCGAAATTTGGTCGCTCAAAATTTTGCCCATTTTGAAAGAAAAACGTGCAACTATAAAAAAAAAAAAGAAAAGCTGGTCTGTGCAAATTGTAGAACTTTTCATGTTGCATCTTTTGATATAATTTGTTTTCTTAATACAACGTATTAAGAGACTCAAAACTGATATACAAAACGTGGCCATTATAACTGGTGCACCCGCTATTATCAGAAACCATGAGACTTTGTCTTAGTCCTTTTTTATGAATTACATCTTCAAAAGTCAATCACTACACTAACTAACCATATTTCTGGTGTAACACGTTAAGACATTTGTCCAAATCTTTGAAAGAATGAAAAGATTGAGTTTATTATCAGAATAATTCTATAAATGCTGCATAGTAAAAAGCATTTTATAAATGTTCCAAGAGATAATATATAACCAATGTTCCTTATTCGAACAGTCCTTTTGGAGACGCGAAACTTTTCCTTTTTTTTCAAGTAATTTTTAAAGAAACTCATAAAGTTTTTATATTGTACAGTAGAGAAATATCTGCTGAATCGAATGATGGAAAAACCATTCAATTCTCTTGAAAATTAATTCAGTAATTAGCGGTAGTCTTCGGATAATTGAACTTGTCCTTAGTATGAGCGCTGTTTCTAATAATACCAGCAAGCCAAAAAATATTCCCTATCAACCAAGGAATACTTATCTCGGGCTTCAGATCTTTACAACTTATAACGACTGAAATAGTCAATTTCTAGAAGTTGCTTATCTGTCCTTATCAGAAACAGTGTTTCTTATACGAACAGTCCGTGAAAAAATGCTCCCAAGAAGAAAAGTCTATGTAAAATAGAGATAAAATAAAATATGTTTCGTAAATGAATTTTTTTCCGATCTCAATTTGGAAATTTCTTTATGCTGCCACCACAAAAAATGTTCCTCAATGGATGATTCTTTAACATTCAACAGTTAAAAGAAAAACGGAGTTTTTTTTATTGGTAACATCAATTTAAAATTATGGCATTACTATATAATTAGTAAATGATAGATTGTGATAACTCAACCATAATATCCTATCGTTCAAAACTATAAAAATTTGTGCTGTATCGAATTACATTCTCTGTTCTTTTAAACTGTGTTTCTTTTGTTAGAAAAATAGTTCAAGGAAAAGTTTAACAAAGTGTCGCACACAATCATTACGTTCTTCACAAAATCAATGAAAGACGATAAATGCAAGTAAGAATCCAACAAAATTGGATCCGATTAAGGAAGGTGATATCTTTCGACTTTGTTATTGCGATGCAATAAAATATTTTTT